CACAATCATATCCCATTAAGTTGGCACCTCTGTCAAGGATAATGAAACACTTATATTGTGGCAAATTAGAGCATGGATGTAGAAATTTATCAATTTAATAGTGTTCTCGCCTTAATATTTTGCTATTTTAACATATTTATCAGATAACTTCTGAAGGCAAGATATTTTCTGGTCTTTGGAGTTTAATCAGAAAAACTACAACCAGCAAAAAGCAAAGTGACAGTTTGATCAACTTGATTAAATTTACTGTTTGCTAATGTTGTATCAGGAAATAGCTTATGCTGTAGAGAAAGGCAGAAGGGGGCAGTTCACCAACATTTGCATAGTCCAGATAGAACAATAAATAGGAGAGGAACATGTGGACTCCATTCACTCTGGATTTCCAAAAGCATCATCTTGATGACAAGAAGGTCACCTGCTTGATGGGATGGAATTATACAAGGAACTTACAACTTCTACTCTGCTTGGGAGATCAGAAGCTAGCCAGCGTAGTTCCAAAAGCTGGCAGTTTTTGGACAGAGAAAAGACTTGATCAGGCTCCCAGAATATGCATCAACTCACAGTATCATAGAAATGCAGGACTGGAAGGGGCCTCAATAAGTCTAACACAGTTTCCTGAGCCAGGACCAAGTCCATGTTTCCACTATTCAAATCTATGTATGCTAGGTTGACTTAAAGCCATCACAGTAAATACTGCGTTTTTTCCTATCCACACTATCCTCCTTCTGTTGGTGGTGCACCTCCTCAGCAGGACAGCTTACACCCACCTAAGAAGGGCAGAGTGTGGGTACAGAGAGTCCAGGCTTGCAGTTAGGCACCAAGCTCCCAAATGCAAGCTCAGCTACTGCCCAGGCTCTCAGCTTCTTGAAGAGCTCCAACCTGGAGTCAAGCCTCTAAGCTTTCCACAGGAGGGAGCTCCTTGCAGGGCGAGGGGCTGAGAACCCTGGTGGCAGCTGGGCTCAAACTTGGAGCTGCGTGTGGAGCAGGAAACCCACAAGCCAGACTCTCAGTGCTGGGTAGTGGGGATCTAGCTGATAGCACAGCTGCAAATATGCCTCCTAGTGCCTATGTTTTCCCTAGCTATTTAATGTTTGATTTTCAGCTGGCAGTGGCTGAACATATAAAACTTCTGATGGCAGTACTGTCAAATTCTAGGGTACATGCAGGAATGTTAAATTTTGGGGTAACACATGTGAACACACAGACAATGTAATTATAGCAGTTTATGGATGTTATTGTAAATTGACTTAAATTTATAGTGGAGACATGGCCTTAGTTTCAGATCCTACACCATTTACACTGATGTTCACTATGTTAATTATGCAATCACTACTAATCTTTTGGTAAAAACAGAAACAAAGAAGGGCATTTAACATTTGGGCTGTTGCTGCATTTTCTGTTATCTTTCCCTTCTCATTGAATAATGGGCCTACCCTGTCCTTGGTCTTCCTTTTGCTTCTAATGTATTTATAAAATGTATTCCTGTTACTCTTTATGTCCTTAGATAGTTTAATCTTTATTGTGCTTGGCACATCTAATTCTCTCCTAACATGCTTTCGTTCTTTTATATTCATCTCTAGAAGATTTATCCAGTGCTGCACAGGTCCTTAACTCAATTTTTGTTTTTTGGAAAATAAAATGAAAATGTACATGCTTCATTGAAATCATTGCTCTGGGCTGGGGCTGGGAGCTTCCCTGTGGAGAGTGGACTACCCCAGCCCTCTCTCACCACAGGAGCTTGAAGCGGCTCTCCATGGTTGTTGCAGCTCTAGCAGGCGCACTCAAAGGAGCAGTGCATGATCCCTGGCTGGGGCAGGTCCAGGTTCGTCTTCCCTTGTACTTCCCAGACAGAGTGAGGAATGCAGAAAACTGCATTTTCCCCTCATTCCCTGAAGGGGAACAGCTAGTAATGTTCCTGTATGAATTGGGGAGGAGGGAGCTTCGGCTCACACTCCCTCCCTAAAAGGCACCTGAGGATGAGAGGCTCAGAGTTGAGGCAGTCCTGGATGGGGGCGGAGTTTTTTTCATCTGCCTGGTGATTGCATCTCTTTTCTATATGGCTTTAAGAGAAGCAATCCTATTCCACGCACATCCTGTTTTCCTGGCACTACTAAACCTTACCTTGCTTTAAGTTACAATAAGAGGAAGCTGTATACGGAACTTGGTGGTCCTACCTCTTGTCATCTGAAAAAGTGGGTTGTGCCCGCGAAAGCTCATGATACCAGCTACAAGTTTTGTTAGTCTTTAAGGTGCTACTAGCCTATTCGTTGTTTAAGTTTTTGCTGTTTAGGAGTTCTTCTTGAATGGACAGACAGACTGACTCTGTCAAATATATAGTAGATTTGTAATTTGACCTATTTTCCACATATTGCACATCTCTTTTTTGAGTTTCAGGTAATTGAAGATCTCTTGGTTAAGCCAGAATAGTCTCTTACCACACTTCTTATTCTTTTCTTCATATTGGGATACTTTGCTCATGTCCTTAATAATGTCTCTTAAAAAAACTGCTAGCTCTTCTGACCTTTCTTCCCTTAGCCTTGCTCCCCATGGGATCTTATCTACCATACTTTGAGTTTGCTCAAGTCTACCTTTGTAATTTGACTGTCTTTATTCTGCATTTGTCCCCCCATCACTCCTTAGAATCAGAAAATAGGGCTAAGTGTCCTTTCAAATCATTGTGATTTTATTCTTTTTCCTTCCTACAAACTCCCCTCTTTGATAGCCTTGGCTGCTTAGAGTCTGGGTTTTAAGCCCTTGTCTCCTGCATTTGTCTGTACATATATGGGAAGGGTGATCAAGTATAAAAGGATAGGAGCCTAGAGTCCTTTTAAGCACACACTCACCTAGCAGGCCTCTGGCCCCTACTTCGACACAGTACACAAACACACAATCTCCAAAGACACACTCAACTCTAAGCAAGCCAAAAGAAAAACCAAATAGACAAAAAGTTCATGCACACCAAGAATTAGTACTTGCTCCCTTTTCAGAAGAGAAGATCTCTCTTTCTCTCAAACTTTCCAGTGTTGCTGTTGATTTGCCTCATAGACTCAAAGGTCAGAAGGGACCATTATGATCATCTAGTCTGACCCCCTGCACAGTGCAGGCCACAGAATCTCACCCACCCCTCTTAGAATAATCCTCTCACCTATGTCTCAGATATTGAAGCCTTCAAATAATTTGAAGGCCCGAAGATGCAGAGAATCCTCCAGCTGTGATCTGTGCCCCATGCTACAGAGGAAGGCGAAAAACCTCCAGGGTCTCTGCCAATCTACCCTGGAGCAAAATTCCTTCCCAACCCCCCAAATATGGTGATCAGCTAAACCCTGAGCATGTGGGCAAGACTCACCAGCCAGACACCCAGAAAGTTCTCTATAGTAACTCCTATCATCCCTCCATTGACCTATTTCCCACTGATAATGAATGGTCAATTAGTTACCAAGATCATGTTATCTCTTCAAACCATCTTCTTATCATAAAATCATAGAACTGGAAGAGACATCAGAAGGTCATCAAGTCCAGCCCCCTACTCTAGGCAGGACCAATCCCATCTAACCCACCCCGGCTGGGGCTTTGTCAAGCCGGAACTTAAACACCTCTAGGGATGGAGACTCCACTACTTCCCTAGGTAAACCATTCCAGTGCTTCACTACCCTCCTAGTGAAATAGTTTTTCCTAATATCCAGCCTGGACCTCTCCCATCATAACTTGAGACCATTGCTCCTTGTTCTGCCATCTGTCACTACTGAGAACAGCCTCTCTCCATCCCCTTTGGAACCTCCTTTCAGGAAGTTAAAGGCTGCTATCATATCCCCCCTCACTCTTCGCTTCTGCAGACTAAACAGACCAAACTCCCTCAGCCACTCCTCATAGGTCATATGCTCCAGGCCCCTAATCATTTTGGTTGCCCTCCGCTGGACCCTCTCCAATGCGTCCACATCGTTTTTGTAGTGGGGGGTCCAGAACTGGACACAATACTCCAGATGTGGCCTCACCAATGCCGAATAAAGGGGAATAATGACATCTGTGGATATGCTGGCAATGCTCCTCTTAATGCAACCTAATATGCCATTAGCGTTCTTGACTACAAGGGCACACTGTTGACTCATATCCAGCTTCTCATCCACTGTAACCCCCAGGTCCTTTTCTGCAGTACTACTACTTAGCTGGTTGGTCCCGAGGTTGTAACTTTGCTTGGGATTCTTCCATCCCAAGTGCAGGACGCTACACTTGTCCTTGTTGAACCTCATCAGATTTCTTGTGGCCCAATCCTCCAATTTGTTTAAGTCACTCTGGACCCTATCTCTGCCCTCCAGCGTATCTACCTCTCCCCCTAGCTTAGTGTCATCTGCAAACTTGCTGAGGGTGCAATCATCCCCTCATCCAGGTCATTAATAAAGATATTGAACAAAACCGGTCCTAGAACCGAACTTTGGGGCACTCCGCTAGAAACTGACCGCCATCCTGACATCGAACCGTTGATCACTACCCGCTGGGCCCGGCCTTCTAGCCATCTTTCTATCCATCTTACCGTCCATTTATCCAATCCACATTCCCTTAACTTGCTGGCAAGAATATTGTGGGAGACCGTATCAAAAGCCTTGCTAAAGTCAAGGTATATAACATCCACTGACTTTCCTATGTCCCCCGAGCCAATTACCTCATCATAGAAGCTAATCAGATTGGTCAGGCACCACTTGCCCTTTGTGAATCCATGCTGACTATTCCTAATCACTTTCCTCTCTTCCAAGTGTCTCAAAATGGATTCCTTAAGGATCCCTTCCATGGTCCCTCACTTGGACCACATTTATTGGAGAAGTGAAATCATAAGCTTCATGTTTTGTGCATCTAAGAGATCAAAACATAAAGGCTCATCTCTCCCATTCAAACTGTCTCCCTAAAAAAGGAGAATCTTCTTTTAATTGAATGGCTAAGAGACAACAGCTAACTTTTGAACAAATTTGGTCATCTTGCTACAGTTTATATAAGGAATAATCTGTTACCTGGGTTTTTGTAAATGCTGAGCACATCCTTGAAATAATGAGGTAAGAATCTTTCCAGTAAAAGCAGCACATCCTCTAGCTCTTCCAGAATCCCCACAAGTAGGAAATTTTCATTCACGTTCAGTTTTGCTCTTTCAAGGGCCCATTCCCCAGGCTCCCTTTATGGATTAAAAAAAAAAGTATTTAGTAATAGTATTCCCCAATAGGAAAGCTATATGATATTAAGAAAACATCTTGGCTCCCTGACTCAAATATGCTCATATATGATTTTCATAGGTTTGCAAGCAGGCTTTGTGATATTAAGCTTGATTGGTATTATGATAAAGATAAAAAGAAAACAAAAAGATAGAAAGATCTTTGTGGCTTCCAAAGCTCATTATGAATCATACTGAAGCAATTTAGTATGTAAATGTATGACTTTTATACTTAAGTTAGATACTGTACAGTAGTATTAAATTCTCTAGACAGTTTTACAGAGAGGTTCAAAACTCTTACCCATATAATAGTATGTCTTTACTGAGACTGTCCATTTTATATTTTCAATTCGTACTTGTTAAGATCATGTAGTTATTTTTTCTACATTTTTCTTATGGTCTATTGAGTGGGCATTATTAAAAACATCAGCTGCACATTGCAGTATTGCAATGCCTGAAGTATGATAGCATCATGCATTTAATAATACCCACCAAGGAATGCTATTGGCCACTTTCAATGTGGAAAGTTTTCACCACCACTTACCCAGTTATATTTTATGAATGATCATGATGAGTATAGGCCTGCAGATTTACCACACTAACTGGTATAAAAGGGCCCATGTGGACCCATGGACTCCAATGATCTCAACTCGTTGAGGGCATGTCCCATAATTCTTTGCAACATTAATTTGCGCTTCCTGAAGTCAGAGTATTCCTTCCTTTCATAAGCACATACTCTTGGTGTCCAACCTTCTAACTAACAAAGACATTCCAGGACAGTAAAAGAGGGCAATAATACAAGATCCAACAACTGGTTCTTTCTCCTCCTTTCTCTGTCCCAGCTCAGGTGCAGGGTACATCAACTTGGGAGCTGCTCCAACTTGCATAAACTGACAACAGTTCCATAGACGACATGGTACCTTAGGGACAACTGGAGTGTAGCCCACTTGACCCACTCCCCATTCCCAATCTGACACACGCCCTGCACAAGGGGATACAAGTAGTAAGGGCACAGACTTCGATTATTTGCCCACCGGGGATTAAGCAGTGCAGAGGGAGTGGCATGGGACAAAATCTCCCAAACAGTTGATAGTGGTCCTTGGACTTTTGAAATAGTATGTTTAACCATCAGGCTGAAATATGACCTTCTGAAAAGAAGGCAGGGGGTGAGGGTCACATCCTTGCTTTGGGCAAAGCATCGCGCTGAGTGGGTGGGTCCTACACCTGAAGAGTCAAGGTGGGAGGCCCTGGGTGTGTTGCAGAGGAAGACCAGCCTGCACTCACCCTACAGTGGAGGTTCCTGTCCTGCAGGGCTGAACCCAGCTCTCCATAGTGTAATCTGGTGTATGGGGTCATAGCTTAGCACAGGTTTGGGCCAGCCACCCCCTCCCATCACCCTGAGGGGATAGAAGCTGCACAAGTTGCTGCTGAAGGTTAAATTTTGATTTTATGTAGTTTGCGTTCGTTTTCATTTTATGTTACTTTACATTTTTTAAATACGTACAAAGCTCTAATTATAGCATGTGAACGCAAGGAAAAAAATGAACGTAAAATTTAAACCCAATGCTTAACTGTTTCTTTATATATGATTTCATAATAAATACACTGATACATGAGCCATGTTTTCCCTTATATTTGCAACAGAGCAACAACTGTTGTGTCTCTGATACCACAGTACATGGTAATTATTAGCAAGTGTTCAATGTCTATTGCTGTACAGAATCAGTAATGTGTGATATACATTTACCTGCATTTTGGATGCTGTCCACAGAAATATGGTATGATGTAAAATAACCTGGGATTGGAACATTCAGGGTAATTTTCAAGAATACATACATTAATATCCTAGGGAGAATGAAAAAAAAAACAAATGTTACAAGAATCAATCTTACCACCTCAATAAAAAAATTGCTTCTCTCTTTCTCACATAAGTAGAGTTAATCTTTTCCTCATACTTCATTGTATAGTCCTGATTGCACAGAATGTATACTCAAGTCCCTCACAAATAACTTGTAGGACATTTAGCATTTCTGAATTTTATTAAGGTGGGATAATTTTTTCTGTGACCATCACATCATCTGGCTACAACATCATGTTACAACATCTGTTATAGTGAAGATATCTTCAAAGCCAGTTTTAACTTCACACCATATGACTAAAATCTACTGAAGAACAGCTTTGGTATTAGACAGCTTTTAACATAGCCATCTTAAACAGCAATCTATTAATGCCATTATTACATATGCTTAGCAATTTCTCCTCTAATTATACTATGGGAGAAGAGAGAAGATGACAGAATAATTTGAAATGCAATCCCAAGGACACAAAACTGTTTTATTCTACTTTCATTCACTGACCTTATACTGTACCAGTATAAACTCAAGTTCATACACCTTTCTTTTCTGCTGGCCAAAACATGCATCACTCTTCACTGGAAGTCAATATATCACCTAGCTATTCAGGACTGGATCATATGGTGAAAATTTTCCCTCATGAAAGAGATGTATGCTCAGTAGGAAACCAAGACTTTGATCTAATGTAGAGACCATTCATCAAAGACTTGACATAGGTACAGCGTATTGAACTTTACTAATATAAATAGGGGAATTGAGTCAAAATGGAAAAAATAATGTTATTTTTTATGTAGGCTAAATTCTGCCACTTTTACTTACACTGAGTAGTACCTGTAGAGACCTCTACTGATTTTAGTAAGACTGATTGTAGCAAAAAGTACAAGATAGCATGAGTATGGATAGGAGAATCTGATCTTTTGTGAAAGTAACCTTTAACTAATTATGAAATCTTAATACCTACTTTTATAATGCAATTTAGCTTTATATATAAAGAATGAGAAACATGACTAACTTAAGAAGAGATAAACTTAAGACGAAGAAATTATATGAACATTTCAGCAGATAGCAAAATATTCAATAGTCAAAAATCATGATCTTGCCATAGGAGAAATGCACATTGCCCACCACATCATCAGTGAGACCAGAATGCTGATAAGCTCCTTGTCGGAGATAATCAGACTCAGATTTTTAGTTACTATTCAGGAAAGCACTTATACTCAGGCTATATTTACTCTACAGCATATGTTGGCATAACTTATGTCACTCAGGGTGTAACTAAAACGCCCCTTGAGAGATATAAGTTACATGACATAACCAGTGTGCCTGGTGCTACATTGGTGGGAGAAGTGGCATTCCGTGCCATTCACGGAAGTGGTTTTATTAGGCCAGTAGAAGAGCTCTCTCCTGTCAGCACAGAGCATCTTCAGTAGATGTGCTGCAGCTGCATCAGTACAGCTGCTGCAGTGCTGTAGGTGTAAACATGTCTATCATCTTTCAAATGCTTAACTGATTTTTTTCCTGAACAAGGATGCTTTACTCAATCAAGACCTTAATTGTAACAAATCACTGATAATGTTGCATTTAGATCGATAATGAGACTCCTCAAGCTATGTTCCCATTTTTCTCCCTCTCTTTTGTTAATGTAAATCTATTACCACTCTTTATCTTCACAGCAAAACATCACAATTTAATACAAGAGATAAGTGAAGTAAATTCTGTTGATGTAACTGTAGTAAAATGACTGCCCAGGATGATAAAACTTTTCCGAACCGGGAGAGACACACAGGTACCTTTCTGTGCATATTAGGGTTCTGTGTGTGGTCCATGAGACATTTTGTTTACTGTTGCCCACACACAGGGTTGCCAGATTCTGCTGGTTTCCATCCACTTAGGTTTTTTCCTAGTGGTATCACTAAAGCGACACACATAAAACGGGAATGTGAAGTGAGGGTAGAGGGGGAAATGCATGTGGTCTATAGCACTAATCTATAAGCTTGTGCTTATCAGTTAATTGATTACTCAACTACACTATTACATCCCTATGCTTTTGTGAAGTCTGTTTTAAAGTTTCCAAGCTGGGCACAACTGTCAGTCCTTCCCAGGTTTTGCTCAGTCATTCTGACCTTCACCGTCTGGGATCTTTTAATTACTCTTTGCTGTCTTCTGAGCACCCACTCTCAGGCCTTCCTATCTGGAGTCTACCACAGCTCGTCATTTCTGCAGAAAATCCTAGGCCTATCTACCAGGTATTTTCCCACATCTTCAAATGTCCAACTGGGCCTTTATGCCCGAATCCTTACCACCTGTCAAGAGGAGGCTGTGGAGGGCAGGAGACAACACAAATTCTTTTGATAGGACCCTTAACTCCTTGGGTTGAGATAGGTCAGTCAGAACCCTCCTAACTTGCTGCTCTCTCCCCCTTTTAAAGTTCACATGCCTTTCCTTAAGCCCAATGCATAGGTACCCTGAGACCCATTCCCCCCTCCAAAGCCCAGTCACTGTGGGACAATCGGGATGGCCGTCTGATCTTTGCCCTATTACACTTATTAGTGTAATACGTGGTCGGAAAAAGACATGTATCTCACTCAAAAAACAATGCTCTCCTTGGGAAAAAGGGTTTTAGAACACATTCAGTATATTTTATTTGCAGAATGAAACTCAGTCTATATGAAAGAGTACAGGAAATGGATTTCCCCAAACTAAAATAACTAGGGCTACTAGAGGTAAATCCATTTGTGTGGTACTACAGATTGTATCTCCCTAGTCCAGCAACCATCTGCTGGAGCAGAGGAGGTAAATGCTGGCACTTCTTCTGCATCTGAGGCTCACTTCGGTGGCAGAAGAGCTGGTATTGACCAAGTGGGGAGCTCGGCAGAGCGGATGGGGCCGCAGGAGTACAGCCCCAGAGGAATGGACCGAGTCCCATGAGAGCCGGTCTGTAGTCCCTCCTCCCTGCCCCTGAATTCCTGGCTCCCCTCTGTGGCACTCTGCAGCCACTGAGCCTCTTACCCCGCGTGTCCTCCATCCTTACTTCTCCCCCTCATACTGTTCCTGAGCTTGCAGTGCCTTTGGAAGGGTGGTGAAGAAGTTGAACATGGGACCCGGTTTTTCCCTGTTGATTAACCACAGTTACCGCTCACAATTACCTAAAAAAATTGTGATTAAAAATAAATCACGATGAATCACTTTTAAATCAGACTGTTAAATAATAGAATGCTAATTGAACTGTATTAAGTATTTTAGATGTTTTGATACATTTTCAAATATATTAATTTCAACTGCAACACAGAATACAAAGTGCTCACTTTATCATTTTAGAGAATAAACATGTTCTAAAATAATATAAACAAAAGAACCAGTATTTTTCAATTCATCTCATACAAGTACTATAGTCCAATCTCTTTATTTTGAGACTGCAGTTTACAAATGTTGATTTTTGTGTTACATAACAGCACTCAAAAACAAAACAATGTAAAACTTTAGCACACATGAGTCCAGTTAGCCCTACTTCTTGTTAGACAATCACCAAGACAGACAAGTTTGTTTATGTTTACAGGAGATAGTGCTTCTTATTTCCAATGTTACCTGAAAGTGAGAACAGACATTTGCATGGCACTTTTGTAGCCAGCAGTAAAAGGCACATAGGTGCCAGAGGTGCTAAAAGATTCATATGAATCTTTATATTTTGGCCACCATTTCAGAAGACATCCTTCCATGCTGATGATGCTCATTAAAAAAATGTGTTCATTAAATTTGTGACTGAACTACTTGGGGGAAGAGTTGTATCATATCTCCTCTTCTGTTTTACCAGCATTCTGCCATATATTTCATGTACAGAAGTCTCAGATGATGACCTAACATATGTTGTTTGATTTAAGAAAACTTTCACCATAGATTTGACAAAATGCAAAGGTGGTACCAATGTGAGATTTCTATAGATACTGCACTTAACCAAAAGGTTTAAGAATCTGAAGTTCCCTCCAAAATCTGAGAGGGATGAGGTGTAGCACACATTTTCAAAATCTTAAAAGAGCTACACACCAATGTGGAATCTAAAACTGAAGCACTTTAAAAAAAAATCAACTTTGTGCTGATGGCCACTGACTCAGAAAATTGAAATGAGCATGCATTAGTCTGCACTGCTTTGGATCACTATCAAGCAGAACTCTTCATCAGCGTGTCCTCTGGATTGGTGGTTGACACATGAAGGGATGTATGGATCTTTAGGGCATCTGACACAAATATCTTGCAACGCACATTTTTTGTTATTTCAGAATAAGATCAGTTATTCTAAATAACACTGCTGTGTAGACATAGCCTTTCAGGTGACATAAAGAAGCCAGCAGTATTGGCTCCTGCAAATGTAAAGAAATGTGTTTTTCTGAGTGACTGGCCAAATAAGAATGATCAATGATTTAGATAATGGCATAGAAAGTATGCTTATAAAGTTTGCAGATGATACCAATGTGGTTGGAACTGCAAGTTCAAAAGGGCTGCAAGAGAATGGGATCATAATTCAAAATGATCCGGACAAACTGGAGAAATGTTCTGAGGTGAATAGGATGACGTTCATACATACAAAATGGGAAATGACTGTCTAGGAAAGAGTACTGCAGAAAAGGATCTAGGGGTCAGGGTGGAACAATGTGACACTGCTTCAAAAAAAGCAAACATGATTCTGGGATGACTTAACAAGAGAGTGTGGTGTGCAAGACACAAGTAGTAATTCTTCTGCCTTACTCTGTGCTGATTAGGTCTCAAGAGTATCGTGTCCAGTTCTGGGCACCAAATTTCAGGAAAGATGAGGAGAAATTGGAATAGGACCAGAATAGAGCAATAAAAATGATTAAAAGTCTAGAAAATATGATCTACGAGGGAAGACTCAAAGAACTGGGTTTATTTAATTTGGAAAAGAGAAGACTGAGGGGACAGGATAGCAGCTTTCAAGTACCTAAAAGGGGGTTACAAAGTGGAGGGAGAAAAGTTATTCTC